TGAGTAAAACACAATAAACAATTATTTTGCACAAACTACTCAGCACTAAAAGGCGCTCTTAAGTGTGCATAGATTCTGTTCTTCCCTAAGGACAAATACCAAATAAGAAAACATTGATGAATATCAGAATCTTGGTGAAAACTGCGTACTGGATTTTCAGCAGAAATTTAATCTTAAGAACAGTTAGCGAATGAGATCCATTGTATTCCCTGCACCACCAAGTCACTCCCTCTCCCCATCCAATCTGTACTCCTCCACACCCCCTAACCTCTACCTCTTGGCCTTCTACACTAGGCTTGGGTGGTATAAAATTTTTCATACTGTCATACTGTCACGTTACGTGGTGCAGGCGAGCGGAGAAGCAGGCAAGCTGAGCCAGGTAGTCCAATAAGCGTGGTTTTAATAATCACAGACGGGCAGACAGGACAGGATCAGGCACTACGCAGGACAACATCAATGATAGAACTGGGGAAACTAACCAAGACGTGGACTAAATACACAAGATAAGCTGAGGGTAACGAGCAACAGGTGAGAACAATCAGGCAGAAACAGGAGGTAACGAGGTGGGCGTGGCACATACAGTATATGGACAATATTTTGAAAAGCAATGCAATTCCGTTATCTTGCTGCAGTAGGGCAGCTCCTATGATAAATGATAAATGATATGATAAGTGCTAATAAGATCCACCAAAGATCCATCCAGGAACAACGACAAACTCCTTTTTTGTGGACATGGTGGAGGGAGTTCCTACGGAAGACGATTAGGGCCACCATGAAAATATTATTTGAATTCTGACTTTTTTCTCAGAATTCTGACTTTTTTTCTAAATTCAAAATTTTGAGAAAAAAGTCAGAATTCTGAGATTAAAGTCAGAATTCAAATAATATTTTCATGGTGGCCCTAATCCTCTTCCGTATGTTGCAGTCGTACTGTCAAATACTCATGGTCTCTGGTTTAATTTGTATTGGAGCATAACCAACAATTACTAGTTTAGTGTTTGATTGGTCATATAGGACTGACCTCAGTATTTCCAGTGTACAGTGTGGATTCTCCATTTCAGCAAAGAGCAGCTTCATTCCTGAATCCTGCAGGTCATTGTTACTCAGGTCCAGCTCTCTCAGGTGTGAGGAGTTTGATCTGAGAGTTAAAGCCAACGCTTCACAGCATGTCTCTGTGAGATTGCAGCTGTTCAGTCTGGAAAAGAAAACATTTTCAGACACAGACACATAGACAACCTACATAGTGGTAAAAGTAATGACAGAAAACATCATAGTCATGCCACCTTAACAAAGTTTAAGCCAGTGACGGACCTCATATATTACAGTGGTCCCTTAGGATGAAGCTGAACAATTCCCCATTGCCTAGTGACATAGCCGTTGTAATGCTGTAGTGCAAATTATGCTCATGGGTTTGTGGTGATGTTGGTCTAAACAAACCTAATCCGCTGTTAGTCATATAAAGTGCAGTACATGCAATTATGTACAGTACATAATACTTGGTAATGATAATAAACAACTATATTACTGGTTTATTTATTTATTATACTCTACATTTTATTGTTATTTAAGCTATTCCATATAGCCTAGGTTGGTTGTAGGCTATACCATATAGGTCTGTGTCAATATACTCTATCAGCAGCGTTACTAGACGTAAAGCTCTACTGGGGTACAGGCCCCGCAACCCCAATTACACTGACATGCATATATGCATAGAACGTGCGCACTTAGCTTCTATTTGTGGTTAAACATCTGCTTATATACCTTGGAGTGGAAAAAACATTCACTATTTTCCCAATATTATAAATCTAAATGAATGCACTGCCAAATAAATTATCTTGTTGTTGAAAGATGAACGTGAGATTTTATTGGGGCATAGCACGTGCCCATGTACTTTATGATGTTCACATAATGCCAAAATCCTCTATCAACGCATTTTCCAGAACTTATCCCTGTCGTTAAGCAACGCCTGACTGTAAAACAAGCATTTGTTGTCAGTATACTAAACAGCAGAGCTTACATATCAAAATGAAATACAGTGTGTAGATTGTGCAACCTGAAAATTTGCTGCATTCATTAGAGCAGGGGTCTCCAACTCCGGTCCTGGAGAGCTACTATCCAGTCGGTTTTCAATCCTACCTGGCTTATG